CTTTCTGTCTCTCTGTCTCTCTCTGTCTGGCTGGCGAGCGCACATGCCCTATAGCAAAAACCTCTCCCCTCCAAAAAAAAAGAGGGAAAGAAAAATAACAATAAGCTCAACATTTAGGAACAGCTGAGACACATGTCTCTTCTGCGCACCAGCAAGTCCAAGGTGGAGACAGACTACACGTTTCTATTTGATAAAGCCTCACACAGGAGTAGTTAAGGAGGACTAGAAACCCAATTGGGCTTAACTGGGTTGCCGAGCAGACACCAAGAGCATTCCTGAAGGGATGCCCTGGAAGAACATATACAAGTCTATACAGACATCTTTATGTTAACATTTAAAAGAAAGAACCACATTCATTTCAACAGTTTTACCAGGTTTAGCCACCTGCTAAGTTACACACACATGCTTGGGTACGTAGAAAGGTATTGCACAGCTCTTTAAGTGATCAAGTCAGGGCACAGTGGTCACTTTGTCTACAATCAGACTCCACATTTGTCTCCAGCAAGGTCACTTTACCTGGCACAGGCTATGAAAGCAGCTGCAGTTGAACCTGGCCTCCCAATTACGAAGCTAGAATATTGCAGAATTTCATGGAGTCACATTCAGCTTGGCTAAGCACTTCAGATTTTGAAGATTTCAGCGACGCATTGCAAACCCTTTAGAATTGTGTTTCTTTCCCAAAGCAAAGTTTATCTTTAGTCCATCCATAACACCAGAAACAGCTTAAAAAGTACCTGTAGCTGTGGATGTATAGAGAAACTGAAGTTAGAAGATCATTAACTTCAAAGGGAAAAACTTGACACCTTGTCACTTTAATTTGGAACCAGGTGGTCATGTCATCTGCTGACCAACAGAAAACCTAGAGGGGATTTTTTGTGCATAATCTTCAGTAGTCATTCTTGAACTTTTCTTTGCCTCAGAATCTGCTGGGGCATTGATTTAAAAATGTAGCTCCCCAAACCTCCCTGTAAAGATTCTGATTCAGTAGGCCAAGTTGTTGGGGAGCTCAGCAATGTTCATCTTTACCAAGAACCCTCAGGCGATTCTTCAGTGATGGTCTGTGGACCATTTTTAAAGAAACATTGATATACATGGAGTCCATTTGCAGTTCAGTAAAAGAAGGGATTTTTTAACAGCATCTAAGAGGCAGAGTTCCTGTCCCTAGAGAAGGTAAAGCAGAGGCCATCACTTCTTGTCCAAATTTCATAGAGGGGATTTGAAGAATTGGATGAGTGGGTGAATGAACCAACCCCTCCTTCCCTGACTATGGATGACTTTATATTCTTGCTTCTTCTTCTTCTTCTTCTAGTCTGTATATGGTGTGACTGAAGAGTCACAGTCGCAAAGCCCTGTGCACATACCCAGTCAACCGATCAGGAAAACCACAAAAGAGGACATCCGGAAACAGGTGAACACGTTGGCAGCTGCACTCCCAAGGGGAGATGTGGCCAGTTTAATACTCTTTTAATGTTCACTTCTGAAGGCTGAGTGAGTTTTGAGTTCCTGGGAACCACAGTGAAACCCAGCTGTGGATGCCTTGAACCTCTGAGTGCCGTGTGTGAACCACCCAGGAAAGCTTGAGAGGAAGAATTCTTGACCAGGGTCCTCCAGCAGTTATTAGAGAAGGATGTGAATGAGTGAGCCCAGAACTGCAGGGTTTCCCACTGACTGCAGGAACTGGGAGGAGGGAGTGCACATCAAGGGGCCCTTAAAATTGTAATGCACTTCCAGAGTGAAGCGGCTCAGGACCATCAACTTTATTGCTTGATTCAAAGGAAAGTTTAAGAATAAAGAAAGCCCCACTTCCAATGCCATCTCAGCATTATTTAGTAGACTGTTATTTCTCTTCATGATGGAGAGCCCAGGTCCGTAGACAATGACATTACTCCTATCAAATATTTAGAGGTAAGAAGGCAATTTAGGGGCCTGTTCTTTACATGTGGGTACTTCAAAATAGCTCACAGAACAATAGAATCAAAGTATGAGTTTATTTTGGTGCAAAAGATTTCAAAGCCCATGCACGGTATTCTCATGATATGCATTTTCCATGAGCTTTTTTATCCCCCCCCCCATTATACTTATTGGCTCCTGGGGTGGTGGCATTGGGGGGGGGGCAAAGGAGGAAACTTTTAGGTGTCTTCCCTTGACAAGTTTATTATTGAGTAGGGAAGAAGAAATAGATGTATGTGAAATTTGATGATTTTATGATTATGAATGATTTGATGATTGTAGTCAAGCATACCAATTACATGGGTCTGATATACAGTGAAAGTGGGCAGAGGAAAGGTCACTGGGGATTAGTCAAGCAGGTATTTATAGTATTTATCACCTGTCTATGCTCAGCTTTGTAGAATATATACACGGCCTTTAAGTTTTGGGGATCAATTTTGAGAATCAGCACTTGAATTTTAACAGTACAGGAGAATATGTGACATAGACTATATAGTACAGTATGAATCTTAAGTGTGGTGGGAATTTTCAAAAGGGTGATTTGGTTGCTGGAATGCAAACCTGAAGGGCTGGAGAAGTCTTGCCAGAGATATTTGGATCTTGGTGGAAGGGCTTTGGGTTCATGGAGAGAAGAAGAAAGAAATGAATTCTATTTTGGTCTTAATATCCTATTCTCTCTTCCCCCAGATAACATTTTTGAATACACAGATTGACAGACACTGTTTGAAAATGTCCAAAGTGGCTGAAAGGTATGTTTCCCCTCAATAATGTTATTGGCTTCTTCTAATTTAACAAAGGAGAAATTGTACAGGGTTATGGTTAACAAGTATGTTCAATTCCATGAGTCAGATGTGTAAAAAAAATAAATAAATAAAGCCCCACAGAGTCTGAGTGAGTGCAACTAAGGTAACAGACCTCACTCAAATGATGTCAAGAAGTGTTCTATTGCTAAAGTTTTCCAGGAGGTGGCCACAGAATCTTGTCAATCAAGAAAAAATGTCCTTAAAACTACATAATGCAACTTTGCCTTCAGCCTCTTGATTAATTCAGAAGGAATTGCTCCCTTTTCAGCTATAAAATGCCCAGATTCACTTTATAGGGGAAAAGAAATTATGTGTGTCCTTTGGGGTGCAGGCCACGTAAACAGGAGGGGGCTGCGTCATCAGGAGGTATTCTGCTTCCACACACCATCAACTATTGAACTTCATCAAATCAACTGTCAAGAAAATATTTGGCCCCTCCAGACTGGCTTCCGTATAGGGCATTTGTGCTACTCTCTACTCCAATAACTGGTTCCACTCGGTTAACTCGTACGAGACTCAATTTTATCAACTAAATGGTCTGTTTTTGAACTCTTCAGTGAAGGGGGAGACCACCTGGGGAATCTGTATGAAATAAATCTAAGCCGGCAACCCAAAATTGAACATTTATTCATCCATAGGCTGCTGTTAAAGCGATGGCCGGTTTCTGAAGGAATCAAAGGGCTTAAGGCAGGTCTTAGTGTTTATCGGACCTTGGATAAACTGAGTCCTTTATGCCCAGCTCAAATAGGGAGCTGTGTGACCAGCCGCAAAGCCTTTCCCTGCTGGCCCCTGGGTCGATCCAAATCTTCTTTCTAAATAAATAATAAATTACACAGGGAAGCCACAAAAACTCCAGCCTGAAATCCAAATTAATCCTGAATTAACACATTGTTTTCAGGAGCTAAAAGCATCTCTGGATGTGAGCCCCTGTCTTTGGTGACATCTGATACTTATTGAGGGTTTCTCAACAGTGACATTATCAACATCCTAGGCTAGATAATACCTTGTGTTTCTATGGTCCTGTGCATGATAGGCTGGATACCTAGCTGCATTCCTCACTTCTTCCCACTAGAGGTCAGCAGTGCCTCCTCTCTCCAGGTGTGACAAGCAAAAATGTCTTCAGACATTGCCAAATGTCCCCTGGGTGAGGACCAAATGACCCGGTTGAGCATTGGTGATACTCCTGTTTTCGCTAGTACTGTGCAAGGTCACTGTGGCTGGAGGTGAGCTTACTCTTGGATACTAATCATTCTAGAGTTTCCGTTTTGGCTAACTCTGTAGGCTGCAGAGCCACCTTGCACCTCCAGTGTCACACTGTGGGGCTTCTGGCTGGAGAATCAGGCCCTGAACACGCTCTTTAGACCTTGGCCTGGTTGCCTTTGGCCTAAAAGATTGACTGTGAGTGAAAAGACGGGAGGACCTCCGCTGCATTGCTGTCATAGCCTGTGAGGAGCTACGTACTTCTTTCTGAGGGAAATAGGGATAGAAGTGGCTGCCCTGGTCAACCGTGGGGATCTGTGTGCTAGCGATGCTGATGTCTGGCCTTCGAAGGCTCTTCAGACCTTGCAGTCGTAGGAGAGAGTATACAGGGAGCATCTAGTTGCTCAGGTCCAAGGCTTCTGAGCAGCGAGATCCAAGAGAGAAAGGGATTTAAAAATTAGAAATCCCCAAACCTCAGCCCTAGGAATTTGGATTCAGTGGTTCCATGGTACCTGAGGAATCTGCATTTTAGATAGCCTTCAAGTGGGCCAGCGCCTGATGATCTATCTGTGAAGTCATTGGCGGCTACTCAGACCTACCTGAGAGCTCACACCAGAGAGAACACCAGCTGTGTCTTATCTGGGGTGTGGGAAAGAACTTGACTCAGTGCCTGGGGAAGGGGTGGGCGACAGCACATCCCTGCGCTGAGGCCAGGGAAGGGAGAAAGCTCAGGTGGGGGCAGGGAGCCTGCATGTCCTATTGTTTGTTTGTTTACCCACTGACAGGGTGGGCCCCACCTGGCACATCTAATTATGTGTGAGCAGTGCTCACAGGGAAGGATTATTCCCAGGGGCTACTCCTCACTCCCTCCAGAGCTAGGAGCTTTCGTGAGTCCCTGCCCCACAGAGGCAAGATCTTATTCCCAGCAGCAATAACTGGCAACTTTTCAATGTGACACGAGATTTTCATTAGAGCCACAAGGAAACTCCCAGATAGGGAGGCAGAGAGAACGGAGACGGGTGTTCGCAGGAGATAAAGCAGCCTGGGGCTGGACTGGCAGCGGCTCTGCGGGGGTGGGGCTGGGAGGTGGCTGGAGTGAAAGCCGAGCTCTCTCAGATGGGCAGGCACAGCCCATCTCAGATCTGGTTTCCCCGGTGCTTTCTCCAGGTGAGAAGCAGTAATTAGTCCCAACCACACCCCCCTGAGAAAGGTCCCAGTCGTTTTTTCACTTAGTTCCCTGAGAACTGATGATGAGGAAAGGCAGGAGCAGGTCTGCTGATAGTGAAGATCCTGTTCAGAGCAGGCACCAGCCAGGACTGGGCTCAAGGGTGCAGCTGGACCCAGCAGGGAGGGAATAGGGAAGCTCTGCGAAGTAAGGGGACAGAACAGCTGAGGGATGGGCCTGGGGCCAACCACAGGTGTTGGAATCCTGCCCCTGCCATTCCCTCAGTGTGTTCTCAGGGATAAAGCCAAGTTCCTTCATCTCTTGCTGCCTGTTTTCACCTCTTCGAAGGGGAGACAATAGTACTCTTGAACTTAGAGGGTTAATGAGTTAACAGCATGCAAGAGTCTGGTCATCTCCAGCTTTCAGTACGCATGCGGTGAATGTGAACGGTGACTATTTTCCAGTGTGGCGGAGTGGTGCTTGGAAAAGAGCAGAATTCAAGGGCCTGAGAGGTAATGAACTTGGTGTATGGTGCCCAGAGAACGGAGGCCAAGGAGGGAGGTTGGCCACAAAGATCAGTTTTGTGCTGATGCCAATTCTTCCCACTCACGGGCTCTCCTCGGTGTCCCAGGAGTGATCTCTGCGGGCTGCCTATAGCTGGCGCCACTGTCCATAGTCCCTGCGCCTCACAGGCCCCCCACTAAGGTAGCCTCTGGGAAGGGAGGGGCTCCACATGAAGAGATTGACTCTTACACACAGATTTTCTCGGGTCCTTTCCATTTCATAGGCCGTATCTATTGTCCCTGGAGTGCTTAAATGTCTCTGAAATGCCAGCATCATGGCAACTGACTGCATTTCCCAGGCTGCCTTTTATACCTGGAAGCAAGATAAAAGCCTCTCTTGAGGTGTTACCAATTTTTGTTTGGGAAAAAATAGTCCCTCTGCAGGCACATCAATAAATTTTCCAAATAAATAACACTTACCACCTTGAGCTTTTTATTTTAACTTTTTAAAATGAAACATCTTCCTTATATATGATTAATGCATTTGCCTTCCTAACAAAGACACTATATTTCTATTTATTTTTCTGAGTGATATGAGGGTAATTATATTGTGTTTTAAAACTGTCACTGATCTGCTTCTTATTCCCTAAATGGCCCCAGACCATTATGTTCTTTGAGTTCCTGTTTCTGCCTTTTAGTTGTTGGTTTATTGGTCTGTCCATTTGTCTGTTATTCCCATCAGTATGCTTTGCCTTTGCTAGCCTGTTGTCCCCACTAACCAACCTCTGTTTCTGATCTGTAGCCAACCAGCTGTATCAGTTAGTCATTGCCAAGTAACAAACAAGATTAGAATAGTCGGCATTTACGGGCTACATGTCTGTGTGCTAACTGGCTCTACTAGGCCCAGCTATACATCTGTGTGCAGTTCAGAATCAGGTAGACAGCTTGCTGATCTTGGCTGGGCTCTCAAACGTTTGACTTCAGCTGGTTTAGGATGGCCTCAGCCTGGACAGTTGGCCTCTGCTTCACGTGGTCTCTCCCCATCTAGCAGACTACTTTCGCCTCATTCGTATAAGAATAGGGGATTCCAAGACACAGAACAGAAGGATGAAAGACCTCTTGAGGTTGAGAACTAACACTCTATCACTTCGGCTACATTTTATTTTATTGGGGAGGGGGGCAGAGATAAAGGGCTGGGAAAATAGTCTCCGTTTTTGAAACTGAACTACCACACAAGGAAATCAAATAACTACTTTTTTTTTTAGGGGGGGGGGGGGCAGAGATAAAGGGCTGGGAAAATAGTCTCCGTTTTTGAAACTGAACTACCACACAAGGAAATCAAATAACCAAGTTCATTAGCCTTGATCCTAAAGCAAGAGTGAAGAGTCTTCTCCATGAATGTCCTCTTCCAAATACTAGACAATAGACCTCAAGGCGTAGAGTTTATTCCATCTGTAGATTCTGCTCAGGAGTCTTTAAAGTTACTTACCTCATCTATGTCCTCTGAATAGTTGAGGCTGCCAAATAAATGAGGTCTTACTCTTTGCAGAGTCCCCAAGGGAGTCTCTTTTTTATTTGCCCAAGTCATATAGCGCTTTACTAACCCCCTTGGAGGATACAAACATCTGTACATTTTAGTTCTACATTGTCTGGAGTCCCCGTGTCTCGCTGTGTCTCTCCAGAGGCTTCAACCTGTAGTAGCGCTGAGCTACACTACAACTCCTGCAGGTGTCCCACCACATTGCCCACACATAGAGAGATCAAGTTGTTTTGCTTTCTATCTGTTTCCGTACTTGGCTCGTCTTTACCTGTTCCTGGGAGCTGTTTGTACGTCACAGCTGACTGCCGAATTGATTTTTTTTTAACATCATCTCACTTGCCCATCTCTGAGCTGGCTGCTGCTCCCTGAAATTGGATGCTGATTTCTCCTCTGCCTCCTGACCCTCCGTGATCATGAAATGTAATTAATGAAATGAGATAAGACAGCAAGGGGCTGGATACTCTAAGGGTCTATTAAAAACCTGCTGAGGTGATAGAAGTCTGTGAACTTAATGTGTAGTGATAGTTTCAGGAAAGGG